AAGAATTTTTTATCATTTTTAACCCTTCCATCATGAATCAGTCGGAGGAAGAAGGAATCATTTCGTGTCAACTTTTTGAAATATCAGATATCTTGATAAAAACATTTCCGTCTCCAGCATTGTATGTGAATCAAGTGGCCGTCATTGCTGCAAACAGCATGTTAATAATTACCACGATTGTAATGAATGTTCTTTCAATAGCGACCATTTATAAGTCATCTCAACTTTACAGCAAGCCTTGCTATTTCATCATTCTCGTGCAATCGACAGCTGATTTGGCGGTTGGTGTTTTGGGAACGCCACTATTCCTTGTTTACCTTTCCGCCGGAATGGCAGATATTTCAAACTGTTATGTAGGAATTCTTACCTACAGATTATGTATTATTCCAATCGCCGAGTCGGACTTCATCTTACTTGCTATGACATTCGATAGATACGTCGCTGTTTTTTATCCATTTGCTTACAGCAGCACAGTAACGAATAAAAGAATTAAAATATATGCATGTTTAGCTGCATGCGCCATCGTGCTTACTGATATCGTCTCGTTTGCAAGAAATAAATTGATGGGATTGTTGTCAGTGGTTTTTACAACGCTGATGTTTATTCTTATGTCGTTTGCCTACACGAGAATTTATTTGGTCGTCAAAAGATTGAGTCATCAACAGAACAAAATACACAACAATGGAAATGATAGAAACGTAACGAGAAAACTCTTATTTCAAGAAGTAAAGCAAGCTAGGTCTTGCTTCCTTGTCGTTGTGTGTCATTTTATGCTTGGTTTTTTGCCAATTATCATCACACTAAGTCTTTCTTTAAAATTCGACGTGAGCAGAATTAAATATCAGGTAATTCAGAACTGGGTCGTTACCCTTAGCATTTTAAATTGCACCCTTAACTCAGTGATATTTTTCTGGACAAAGACAATGTTACGAAGAGCAGCCATTAAAATGCTGAACTCTTTCTTGCATTAAAAATAGATACTATGACACTTCGAATAATCTTTATTCTACAATTATTGTCATTGATATACATTCTTATTACTTTATTCCAGTCAGTTAAAACGTGCAAAACGTTGGTTGCTGGATTATTGAAGGATTGCTATAAATACACTTAGTTTTGTCAATAACCATTAGTCTTTTTACCGTGACGAAGAACGTTTAGTTCGAAAGCTTAGCTTTAAATAACTTTTAGCTAATTTTCAGATAACTTTTCGCGGATTTCATAAATAAGGTTGCTCAAATTGAATAATTTACAACTGGCGAATTTTTATACTTGAAAAATTCTTGAAAATATAAGCAACGTTATGGCTTGATGACTGTGCACGGGATAGCTATACTTTTATGTGGATATGAGCAGTGGCGAACATTTAAGAAATAGAAAACATTTTCAGTTATAGAAACACGCGTGGGAGTTTGGGAGAACGAGAAATAATCAGTGGGAAAGCGAGCCCGTAGGGCGAGTTTTCTCCCGTTATTTCGAGTTCTCCCAAACTCCCACAAGTGTTTCTATAACTGTATAGAAACACAGGGAAAAATGTTTTCTATTTCTATTACAATATAACTCAATAAAAAGATTTTGTACAAATATTATAATTCGATTCAATTACAAATTCTCATTACATCGTTTCGCTTGTCAAGTTCGGCGGGAAAATTCCCGTGTTTCTATACAGTTATAGAAACACGTTTCTCGACCAATCAGCACGCGCGTAATATAAATGTTATATTATATGATTGTTGTGTCAAAAGACCTTTGGCGATCTCTTGCCCAGATATATCATTTTAATAGATCATTTTGGTCGAACTTGCATCGAAAAAACATGCAGTTATTAGACTCTTTCGTGTTCAGCTCGTGGCGCGCCAGCAACTCGAGCCAAAATGCATGAGCGCGAAAATAAAATAAATAAAATAGCCGGCAGCAGATTTTAGCTTGTCTTGATGAAAATGACCTATTCAAATTATTAGCAAATAAAGACGGCAAGAGTACAAATAATGCAAAAAAGGATGGAAAACTTTTTTGACGTATAATATCTTCATGAAAAATAAAATATATTTGAAACCAGTATTGTTGTACTGATATACTTGCTCGGAGCATTAATAGACTTCGTTTAATTAGTCGATTTATGCCTACGTTTCTGATGTCTTTAAATGTATAATAAAAATTTATTCGACTTGGTTTTGCATGATACTAAGATTTATTTAGACCTCGGTCAATGTTATTATCTATTTCAGCTTTGCTTTGCAGATAACATTGAGCTTGGTCTGAATAATTCTTGATATCATACTCAGCTAGATCATCCAATATTTGTTTTTTAATATTAGATGGAATGTGACAGGCACTAAAATGAGATCGTTGAAAAAAAATACCCTGATAAAATATACAAGACACGAACTTTAAATACAAAAAGTATAAAATGAAACATACTCGCATAAACAAAGACATCTTGCATGGAAACTCAAGATTTGAGTTATAAAAAAGTCAAGATGCAATTATTCAAGTGGGGATTGTTATATTGTTGAAATATCAACAACTGAATAATTGCGTCTTGTCTTTCTTATATAACTCAAATCTTGAGTTTCCAAGATGTCTTTTTTATCGGAGAATGTTTAATTTTGAACTCTAATTTCAGTGAGCATGGAGAACCAATTTTGTATTAGATGTGGAAATAGTTTTTCATGCATGCTCATGCAATTTAGAAGTTCAAAATGCGAACAACGTGTTTCTTTCTATTACCGAGTAATCATAATGCACAAGTTTAAGAGCTGGTTTTCATTTAGTCATAACTGTCAGGTAAACAAGCCATCTTCACCGATATGAAATAGTCCACTTAATTGGAAATTTCTCTTTATTCTCTGCAAGCAAACTGTCATTGTTTACTGCAAACACATATATTATATAGCAATATTCAACTCAATGAAAACCGGCCTTAAGGGCGGTTTTTTCACAAGGCGGAATTTTTCGACGGAACGAAATTTTTCGTCTGTCCTTCATCGGTCAAAATTCAAGAGAAAACGAGCGAAAAATTTCGTTCGTTCGAAAACACGATTTTTGCGAATTTATGAGTTTTCAAAAGCAAATAAGTTTGGTAGTGAAAGATAGCAAATTTTGACACATGGATCTCTGGGGATGAGCGAATCGAGTCCGGTGTGCGAGGGCGAGTTCGTTTAAAAGTGCTCCAAATACGCATGAAATGCATTGCTCCTCATCAATTTTATAACGGGTTCAATTTAAGTGAACGCTGGATTTAATGATTCCACTGTCATGTCACTTTATACGGCAATTCACATTAAACAGTAGCAATGCTAACATAAGTGCAAATATTTAAAAACTAATGACAAATATAATAACGGAAACATCGAGATTAAAAAGCATTCACATGCAGATATCACAGATGATCTGTATATACAAGAAAAATTTAGCAGCCAAACCAGCGGCATGACCTTCAGTGATTTAGTTTGATAAGGATTGATATTCACTTTTAGCCCATTATGAATCAGTCGAAGGAACATGGAATCATTTTGTGTCAACTTTTTGGAATATCAGATATCTTGATTAAAAAATTTCCGTCTCCAGCATTGTATGTGAATCAAGTGACCGTCATTGCGACAAACAGCATGTTAATAATCACCACGATTGTAATGAATGCTCTTTCAATAGCGACCATTTATAAATCATCTCAACTTTACAACAAGCCTTGCTATTTCATCATTCTAGTGCAATCGATAGCTGATCTAGCCGTTGGTGTTTTGGGAACGCCACTATTCCTTGTTTACCTTTCCGCCGGAATGGCAGATATTTCAAATTGTTATGTAGGAATTCTTACCCACAGGTTATCTCTTATCCCAATCGCCGAGTCGAGCTTCACATTACTTAGTATGACATTCGATAGATACGTCGCAATTCTTCATCCATTTGCTTACAGCAGCACAGTAACAAATAAAGGGATTTTCATCTATGCATGTCTCGCTGCAAGCGCCATCGGGTTCACTGTTATCGTCTCGCTCGCAATGGACAAACTTCTTGAATTCTTGATAGCTGCTGCGGCAACACTGACGTTAATTTTAATCTCGTTCGCCTACACGAGAATTTATCTGGTCGTCAGAAGATTGACTCGTCCACAGAACAAAATACACGACAATGGAAATGGTGGAAACGTAACGAGAAAACTCTTCTTCCAAGAAATCAAGCAAGCTAGGTCCTGCTTCCTTGTCGTCGTGTGTCATTTTACGCTTTGCTTTTCGCCAGTAATCATCGGAGTTTCTTTCATATTCAACGTCAACAGAATTAAACTTCAGGTAATCCAGAACTGGGTCACTACCCTTAGCATATTAAATTGCACCCTTAACTCAGTGATATTATTTTGGACAAAGACAATGTTAAGAAGAGAAGCCATTAAGATGCTGAACTCTTTTTTGCGGTTAAAATATAGATACTAACCCAATGAGATCAGTGAACGTGGAGTGTCAAGATGCCAGCAAGTGCCTTGAAATTTGACCGCTGGTCATGGATAACGAACATGCAATCATGTTTCATTTTTATATATTATCGCAAATAATTATAATATTGTGTATATATAGAATTCTCTATAGGAAATTTTTCGCACGTTTTCGCATTCATTATTAGGGACCTTAAGCATATTGGACGGCAACACGACGACGACGCTGAAATTCTCTTTTAAATAAATGCTATAGCAGAATTGTTGTTGTATATCATTAATTGTACCGATTTAGTGAGATATATAAGGCGTTAAGAACATTGTGTTTATGTTTAAGGACCATTCTATAGAGCCTCATTCGAGGTAGGGTTGCCTGGGTCCTGAAATGCACCCGTTCTAGGCAAGACGTAAAAAAACACGTTTTCCCGTTGTAAACAGAACGAAGACGACTTCTAAAACCCATCATGGGTCTTTAATTATTCATTTCTTTTCAATGACGCATTGTATTGATAGCCGTCGTCGTCGCGTTCGCGTCCTACATGCTTAAGGTCACTATTGTCTCACTTACTTTAACGGATGTAAATCTCCAGCTTTTCCCTTCTCTTTCTTATCTTTTGTCGAAGCGGGAGGTTTGAGATCGATGCATGTTCCAACTCGTATCAACAAACACGCAAACAGACGTGGGAATTGCTTCGACACGAGTTCTGTTATCTCCTCTGACCAAAATAACTCATGAAAAGCGCTGGTCACCTAAAACGGTTAAGAATGTTAAAACACGTGGAAGTTGCCGGAGAAACGCAGGACAATTGCGCTTTTAAATAGGATACCATTATATATTACCAAATACAAAATTTTTGACCTTGCGACACGAAAGGCAGAAAATTCTTCCCGGGCTATATAGCTACTTCAGACGTAACCACTCAAGATCAGATGTAAAAATAAACAATTGAACATGCACTCAGCGAGACCGCATTATCCTAGTTGTGTTACGAGGAAACTTAATATTTTGGTTGCTCAGAGAAAGTCATATATAGGGTAGTAGAATTTTGCTGAATATAAAAGATACTCAGTCGTCAGTGGCGGATTGTAAAATTAAATTATAACAGCTCATGCATATTAGGGAATATAGCCTGGTTCTCATTTATCTAAGAATCGGGGGTTTGTTTTGTCTGAATTCACTACATGCAAAATGCTTCGTCTATAGGAAAATAATACAATAGATCCCCGATTCTTAGGACCAATATAGTGTAAACAAGACTCAGGTATAATAGTAACATTTTAAAAACCATCAAAATAGATCCATCAATAATAGATTTCAATTGAAAATTATTATTATAAGGTAGCTATATACTTAAAATAAGAATAATATAGGGTGAGGTTACTTATTTGTAGTATTCATTAAGAGCCAAATATAGTTCACAAGAATATAAATATTGAAGTATTGAAGTTGAGTCAAGATCTTTCCAATAAGTTTAGATTAAAAAAACACATTCATACCGCCATAGCAAGTACTGTTGCCGTCCTTGTTGTAACACTCTTTGTCACCTTTTCCTGATATGGTAAAGTGACGTTTAACAGGTTAACCAAATGATCTAAAACCTCGGGAACAAGTGTCGGTTCACCACCCAAGGTCTTCCAAATGTCAACTGTATCCCTATAAAGAAGTGAAAATACTGGATTATACAAATATTAGGACCTTAAGCATGTAGAATAGCAACATGCACGACGACGCGGCTGAAAAACGTCTTTCAATATAAACTATGGTAAAGATTTGCCGAATATTATAAATCGTATCAATTTAATGAGTGTAAGATGTTGAAAACATTACGTTTATATTTTTGTGAACAATTATATATAGAGCATAATTCGAGGTAGGGCTCACAGCGCCCTAAAATACAGACGTTCTACGCTGGACGTGAAAATCAGAGATTTGCAAACAGAACGTATACGTCGTTTAAAACTGCCAGGTCTTTAATTATACATTTCTGTTCAATGATCTATTCATTGATAACTGTCGTCGTCGTGTTCACGTCCTCCATGTTTAAGATCCCTATTATATGTATGAAGAGTTAGGACGTAACGTCGAAAAGTGTTTTTCGATTGTTATGCTTTCAAAACAGGCAACTTTTTCCTTAAAGGAACTGTATTTGATATTTGGTAATGTACAATTGAAAATTGTTTTCTTATGTCGTTTATGACTTACCAATCCATGGGAAGCGGGAAATCCAACAGTGTTTTCAACAGAGGAACAAGATGATGACTGGCTATGGTTCGGAAACATCTCAAAGTCCCAGTTCGTGTTTTTAGATGACTGATCTGTGGAAGCTTGCCGTGAATTGTTGATGCCAACGAAGGAATCTAAAGAAGGTGTAGGGAGATTTGTAAGAGTGATGATTTGTAATAGACCCAAAACGTTTTTAAAGTAAAAAGTAAAACGTTGTCAAAATGTAAGGGGAAAAAGATAAAACGCAACAAGACAAACATATTCAATAAATTGATTCAATATATCTGCAAGCATTAAAAATCTCCTTCAGTTTCATGCATAGCCCAGAGGGTATGTATGTCCAGTTTCATATATTGCAGTCACTGATCCACGCTCGCAACTTGAGTGTATATATGTACTTAATATCGTTTTTTAACATATATGTATTGCGATACATCAACATTATTCCCACCTCGCCACCGAGTTCTGCACCACGGATACGAAACAAGCTGTTGAGAACAACACAAGCTCCACTTGAACTATGGGATTGAGCATCGTTTAAAGCATCGATTAAACCATTGATCAAAAACGATAGTTGATCACTCTCCACTTTTTTGCTAAGAAGCTGGAGAAAAATAATTACAATTGATCGACAATCACTTGACGCGCTCACTTATTACCGCTAGCTGCAATTAAAATATTTTGCTACTGAAAATATAGTATAATTAATTTTATAGATAATTTTGCAACGAAAACTGAATTTCAGTCAAAATATTTGGTAGTGAATATTACGGACAAAGAACATCGAACCTGCGTGGCTACCCTTCCAAGCTGTGTTCTCATGCATCACGGAAAATGTTACTTGCGGGAGGAGGATGGAAACTTTATGTTATTTAGAAATGGTTGGTATCACTTATAGATTCCACAAATATTAAAATTGGTCGTATATCAAAGTAAGTGTAAGTTTATTTATACAAGTTGCACAGAAGTACGCACTCCTGTATAGAAATTGATCACGATGATTGAGGTGGACATGGATCACGAAGACTGCAAGAGGGGTTCAAAAAGATCAAATTGATCCTGCTTTTAATTTCCATTGTACTTATATTTATGAAGAAATATGTCGTGTATGTTCCGGAATAGTTACTGTTTTGAATATGGCGCTTACACTGCACTAACCCCATCCACCCTCTGCCCAAATTAATCAACAAACTTCATTAATTATGCACTAAGTTTAAGTTTATAATTAACGTCAATTTACAAACCTTGGCTAGGTCGTTAGCGACTGTAAACAACACGTTACTTTCATCATCTTCAGCTCGTTTTGTTAAAACATCAAATGCTTTAACCAAGTTCTCGTTTTTGGCTTCGGTGGTCTCTATGAAATGAATGAAATCATAAACATAATTAAAACCATCGTTGAGACAACCTTACATTATGTGTTATTCTACACAACATGTTTATAGCACACCTGAACGAAATTTGGCTGCAATGGAGAGAGTTGTTCGAACAGAAAGCAAAGCATCTTGACGAACGCTTGCACAGGGGTCTGTACAGCGAGGAACAAAGTACGCCAGCATATTGCCCATGACGAAAAAGGTGTCCTGTGTGGATAGATGTCAAAAAATTAAAAATAAGAGGAAGTACAATCGGAATATAATAAAAATATCGAATCCCTGCCCTGTGTAATACAGAATAATTATTTAATAAGGGTTTGACGGGCAGTTTCGGACGAGTTTGTTTTAGATTTAAGCAAAGCAACTGTGAAAAACAATTAGCCTCTGCTTCATTTATTAATGTATATAACTATTGATTTAATTAGATGAAGGTCACGAAGGGAAGATAGCCTGCTAGGGAATATTGAATGAATTGGGCTTGGTTGTTATCGGATAAAATGCAAATTTGACCGTCAAATATTTAAAATAAAATTATATAAAAAATATGCTTAGCTCTGGTTTTTAAAGCACCTCCAAAACATAAAAAATACATTGAGTGCATAAAGAGAGTTGTCAGTATAAGAGGATAGTAAACAATCGCGGGTTTTTCCCTGGCAATATGAAATATCACAAAATAGTGCGCCATATTGAGTGACATGAGCCTCATAATTAATCGAACGGGCCTTTAAAATCTTTTGAAGTCACAGGCAACAACCTGCAGAACTAAAATCTATTACTATAAATATCCAGTGTTAAGCGATATTTAGCTGAAATCATCGATGAAATTAGCGATGAAATTAGCTAAATTCACACCAAATTATGCAATGTACCTCTGAAGTTGGAGCGACAACCTCTTCGTACGTATTCAATATTTTCAAAATCGACTTGAGTGTTCTTTGTCTTGTAATTTCGCTCTCGTTTGACAACCACGGGCTGGACAGACACTGTAACCATGCATTTTATAGTAATCAATATATTAGAGGGAAAGCAGCCTCAAATTCAAAGCGGGGTGCTCGGATCTGAAGTGTACAGTAATAATTCGGTCGCAAACTCTGAAAATCATTCGAAAAATCTTCATTAACACTGACCTTCATTAGTTTCTGAAGTGTTATTGGGGTGGGATCTTTTCGAATGAGTTCACTTAATAATTCATTCAAAGCTTCCAGGGCGGCGGCAAGCAACTTTGAGGGAGACTTTTTGTCCATCTAAATAATAATACAGGAATCTTGTTTGAAAACTTTAACATATACTCAGACGCTTTGGTAATGTAATGACTGCTAACCAGGTAGACAGGCTTCAAGTCTTGGTCTTAATATAATTAATATGAATGTAAAAGGCGGGATCTCATTTCTATTTGGTCACTTCAGAGTTTGCATTTTTTTCGCATCTGTATTAGTTTAAAGGTATTTCACTCTAGACGGACAATGGCGTCCGCCATTTTAAGTTTAGGAGTGACTATATACATAGCGGAATTACTGCTATACGAGGCTCAATTTCGTGCATTGGTGTACCCAAAACAGCCACATATGTACCGATGCAGGTTTACCTGTTCTCATGCATGTAGTCAAAGCCGCAGCTATTCACAGGTAAAATTCAAGATTGAGGATGCAATGTTCAATTTAAGAAAGCAAAAAATGTACTTTCATAATATGTGGGTTCATGATGTGGGCTTACAATACATTGTTGCATCTCTTGTCTTTCGAGATATTTCAATAATTTAATTGCCATACCTTAGCTAGTTGCTCAGACTTAGGACTCTTGGCTTCAATTTCAACAGAGTAAACTGACTTTGCGCACGCGCTAACTAGGTTTTCAATTTCTTCTTCTGTTAACTTCGGATCCAGTTTTCTGACCAGTAGTTAAAGAATTAATTTGCATTCATAACAGCACAGCATCTTTTAAAACATCAAAATTAGTTATTTTATAAGCAAAACGGATTGTGCATTGACAATTTAGAATATTTTCTTCGTTCTTTTTAGACAAAAGATATAATCTTTTGTTCAGAAAATACTTTTTAAGCTCAGTGAAATCTACACCTTTCTATTTTCTTCATAAGAGACTAATTTCAGTTGACATGCAATCGTTTTCTATGCGGCCTGCAAATGAAAGACGCAACTTTTGAAAAAGGCCTCTAAGGATACATGAGTTGCGTACACGCGACGATGGCAATTCCTCTTGTTTCTGTTGTCAAAGAAGACTTGGATTCATTGCTAACGTAACTCTAAAAGAGATGCAACAGGCATTTAAGCGAAATATGTGCAAACATACACTTAGATTACATGCGAGTTGATATACACCTGAGATAGTACAACAATAGTATAAATACAACTAGCAGCAAATTTTTTGTTAATAACGTTTTAATACCATAAATTATATTACGCAGTCATATATTATATAATAATGTAGTTGTCGTGTACATTAAATAGGTTTCCCATTCAGTAAGTTAATGTAAGGATGACTGCAAGATAGTGGGAAAATTCGAATGAAAATTTGGAAAACCTTCTACAATAATTGCATTGCACATATATAGCTACAATATAATACGATGTTAAATTCAGCAAATGAGTTTGGCAATTTAAAAAAAATACTTGAAAAGGCTTTCATAAACTACAGTTATAACTAATTAACTTAAAAGAATTAACTACAATTAGGATAAATTTAAGAAATGTGCTATTGTTGTTTAGCAGCGAGGAATTCCTGACGACGACAATGCACGGTCTATAACCCACTTTGTATTCGAAATAAATTATCACAAACTTTTAAGCATTCAGCTTGTTGCCAACTTTATACCTTTTAGTAACTGTAATTGAGGTGATACAATTAAATCATGAATTCTACATAACACTAAAGATATACGTGCATGCCACCATGATTTCATTTTATTCCGAAAAAAACAGTTAAAAGGAATCTAAGCTGCAGGCTTTCAAATTAACAATGAACTTTCAGGTGCAAATTTTTCAAAGAGCACTTACGGTCATATGCTTGAGCAATTCGTTTCTTTTAGAGAAGGCAAACTGCTCCTGCTGCAAATGATTAGGATGACAAGCCTTGGCTATCAATTCGACACAATGGATTAAACTTTGTTTCACACCCAGATCCTGGAAATGTCAAAAGCACATTTTAAAATTGGCGACACGCATGCAGTGAGGTTATCCTTATATATTGAGGCAGTCCAAGTGCATGAAAAAAAAAACACAGAGAAAGTAAGTATATTTTGTTGAGATATCTAACAATCAGTGACCTGTATACATTACGGACAGTAAGCTGCATTATTATATGGCAAGCGTCCCTTCCGGTGAAATGGAGCTCAGTGATTGACTGAGAAGAATTTTCAGCGGTCCATTACATTTTCGTAATGGACGGGACATTCCCGTAGTGGGCACTTTCCCGGCATTACCGCCGATCAATCACAAAATGAAAAACAGAGAAATTCAGAATGAAAAAGGCACAAATGAATGCTCAAGAGAAAATTTAATGGCTTTAGAATTTAAAAAAACCTCTCCATACATTTTGGTAAACTACATAATTCAATATTTTGTTTTTGTTTTTATCAAATGCGTACCAGGCTACTAATACGAATTTATGCATTTCTTGTTTGTTTCAAGTACAAATACATGCCTTATGCCATATAATAAACTTTTTATTAACCTCGATTGCTCGGTCTTTACCAAGCAATATCGGAACTCGATTTTATTTTACAAACCTCGCTTTCTGAAATAACATACACACTCTGCAATATTTGCCTTAAAGCAACACCGACCACAGACGAGTTGATACCTATACAGTATCTTCAATACCATAAACAATTACCTTTGGCTGAGCCAGATGAGGACTGATTATCCGAAAAATACTGGTTTCTAATCTTGACGCGATCAGACTAAACAAACAAGTATGGGTTTCACTTCTATTTCTACACAGAAGTGAGCAACTTTCATATACATGCTATAAAGTTGAGACTTTTAGTGCAATGTGGAATTACAACCCACCTTGGCGGTCCGTACAGAGAAACATAACCAAAACTCCACATCACCGTACTTTTTATCTTCTCTATATCACCTGCTGACTTATCCTAAAAAATAAACAACAACAGCATTTGCAAAATAAAACTTAAATATCTAGCTCAATTGATGCCTACAGTCAGCTGGTGCTTTTTTCATAAACAAAACAAACCGCAAATTGATTTAAAAATTTGTTTTGTCGTTGATGGAATGTTAAAGCGAAAGGTAGGAATGAAGAAAAAAAATTACATTCAATTACCATTTACCATAACAAAATTACCTTCATCAGTCCAAGAAAACCTGACGATTTCGCAACCATTTCATTCTTCGTAATTTGTTCCAATTTCAACAAAACAGCGTCGAGATTATTCGAAGCACAAAAACCAAATGCCATAGCACATCCCTGCGATATTAAATATTAATTTCATTTATTCAAAACAGGTTAAGAATCCTAAAGGTGGCAAAGGATTTACCAGAGAGGAAATGTAATCGTATAATATAAAATGCCTACAGTAGCATAAACGGGACTGAGTGACATACCGTCACATACGAAAAATTCAAATGTGAAAATATAAAGTCATTGGGGTCATTGAGTTGAACAAAAAGTTGAAAGAAAACAAATTTGACAAAGAAAACGAGCATATGGTGTTATAAGATGTTATAGTAAATATGTACGTACTACACGCTCATATGGTTGCATGGTATTGTGGTGAAATTCCAACTGCGATTCTACATGTAGTGCCTTCCTCTCATTTTTAAAAGCAAACAAACCTCTTTCTCGTCATTATCAGCGTGTTTCGTAGATGAAAATATCACAGAAAGCTGGCTCTGTATGAAATCTTTCTTTGATGCCACCTTCATTACAACACCCATACATTTATAAAGAAAATTCTAAAGAGAAGAAATTTATTAGGGTTATATACTTGAATAAAGAACATAAACATACCATGCATTAGTGCGTATATAACAATGGGAATTAACCTATATTTGGGTCTTTCAGAAAACAGAAGAAACGTTCTGTGACGTTCATTTTAACGTTCGGTTTAAATTGAGACTTTAATAAACAATTATTGGATGAGGTTATGAGGATATGCAGAGTTAGTTTATTAACGCTTACCTCGACCTTGATAACTCTGCATATCACAAAAACCGAATTCAATAATTGTTTTATTATACATTTGAAGAATAGTAAATGTTTTAACCGTAATACAAAGATGCTGTTTACAAGTACACATTCAGTGCATAATACTCAAGTCGACTCATTCAAGAGAGTTGTAAGAGTGTTATTTAAATTTGACTTATCCACCGTTTAAGCTAAACGGGCTTGATACGGTTGGCCCTGTGCTATAAATACAACGCGATTTGCAATACATTTGAATTTAGTACGTTTTACAACAAACCTTATCTTCAGAGTGATTGTTGTAAATTGGTATTTGATTTCCAAGTTCCATTCCAACTGCTATACTCCATTCTTCATCCTCTACCTCGTCCAATGTTTTGGAGAAAAACTATACGTTTGAAGAAATTACGAATTTGAGATCGTTCTTTTTAACAGTATTACGAGGCACTTTGTGAAAAATCTGAATTTGTCGGTATCGGGATACTGGAGTGATCACTATTGGAGTGACACACTGTGTAATCTGACACTGTGTAATCTTCCTTGCAACTTGCAATGCACTTGTAATTTTTAGAGATGTTAATTAGTAACGTATGCTCGAAATGGTAAGAGATGTCAGCAGAGCGTGATAAAATTTGCTTTTGTCAACTTTAGATGTCTCAAGCGTAGAATCGCATTTGCAAGTTGCACGGAAAATTGCATAGTAGCTATAACAGCGCCTTAAGTCAGATTCACCTTGAGTAACAGATTTTCCCAAGATTTCTGGTTCCATTCTGCTTCGCTCTCGTCATCTTCTTTATTATCTACAATTATTATTATCTACATTATAGTTGTCTGTCAATTTAGACAATATACACATAATTTTTTAGGTGGAATTATACAACATGATGTATTCTAAAACCTACACATCTGTATTTATCAATGTGAATAAACCTGGGTTCAGTCATCCAGTCGCTTCCATCTTGGTACTTTAGTTCCAGTGTTTTCATTGGCTTGATGTGCCACTGTACTAAATTCCTGACTTCACTGGATGCGCAATTCAGGTTTGTTCACATCGATGAGGGTGCTTCATAAAAGCAGAAAACCATAACGAAACCAGTAATATTCCATTTCTCACCTTCAATATATTGCACCAATTTCGGTATGACGGTATCCCAAAGTTCTTCAACATCGGGGTGTAAGATTGGTGACAACAATTTCAAAAGACCCAAAACATGCGTTCCTCTCTCCTTTCCTGCCAAAGGATGTCCTGCCAAAACCTAGTGGGAAAGGTCCAACATGTCTGATGTTTTACATCGCAAGAGTTTACTATTATTCAGAAACAGGCCTGTGTTCAGCTTTCGAAATTACTTTCAGACGACAATAACTGATTACATAGGTACATACATACCAGTAATCTTGCCAGTATTGGCACAGGTTTTGGCAGATTCACTAAAATGAAAGTATTGAAGAATGAAATCAAAAGTAGATTTATAAAAAATGATTCAAAAATCAACAGATTATATAAATTTCGGTCGATCCAACAAAAAGTGAGTGTATATATTCAAACAGATTTTAGTAAGGTCTTGCAAGCAGCAAATGATTTGAAAACACGAAACTTCAACGCAAACAACAAGTTTCCTGACAAGTGGCAACTACATGCATGTTTGAAGTATACGTCTCGCGTATGGTGGAGGAATTTTGTATTTCTTAAAGAGTATCTGATATCTTCGGTCTTATAATAAATCTAACAAGTTGTCATAAACGTTGACAACCATGTTTGTGAGGTGCAGCACAACATTGTTTTTTAATCATGTTTCAGTTATGACTTCGGTGTTTCTAATGCATGAATGTGTTATTATATAGTATCATTATATGCAATGACGAGGAATTTTCCGAAAAAAGTTATATGAGAACAGGTAAAATCTTAGACGGTATTGCAGTCAATCTTAGTCCGCCCACTAAAAACGTCTATATATTCAGGTTAGCAGCGCTAAGTCACGATCTGGGGCAAGTTGTTCAAAGTCCACTATTTTAGTTTATGTGCTTCTGTACCGCCCCATACTGTTCTATATATTGAACCAGAAAATTCTTACGGCAAAATAATCATCTTTTATAAACAAGCGGTTGAAAAACTGATGCAAAGATATGATCTCGTCCTGCATGTGTTTTTTTCACTACACTGTGTTTTTATTAATTATTTTCAGCGCCGGATAACTATCCCTGGGCCCGGGCAAAATTAACCTTCATAAGGGCCGACACAAAAGGGTTCATCACAACTCACAAAAATCTGAATAATTTGTAGGTGGCTGCATGAAGTGTCTGATCTTCCCCTCACGATTTGAGTATTATTTAATCATGCATCACGTTGCTGAAACCAAGGAAAACTCGGAAGAAACGACCAACTATCAGCCAGTGAAAATCCACGGCTGGGGGCAATTGCCCCCTCGGTAATCCGGCACTGTATATTTTGGTATATATAGCAGTGCTTAAAACACTTTTCCGTTAAAAGTCGACAACATAAAAGACTCCGGAATAAGAAATAAATAACATTAATTTTATTTACCTAATTCCACAAAATCGACAGTGAAATTTTCCGCATCCCGTTCTCTTTGTTTGCCTGCCAGATAGCACAGGTTTTGACAAAGAGCGCTGATGGCGTTTGTGTACTCCTCGTGCACCAAAAACTCAAGCAAATAAGGCCATAGCACCTGAATAAGCGAAAAGCAATTTTAACTATAGCATATATTATATGAAAAGGTAAAGCTGAATAACTCTAAAATGAACTCGTTACACTTAAAAAATAAAATAAAGAATAGAATTATACTGAGAATATAAAAATCAACTCGTTAGAACACGGCAGGTTAACACTCGATTTCGTTGCTATGCATGAGCCGCATCTGGAATGACAAATTTTAGGCCCGTTTCAGTCGGCAATGAAAAGTCATTTGCCGAAACTTAAAAACAACTTTTAGCCATTCATTTCGCCTGCTTCTGAATTGCGACCATCAAGAATTAGCTAATGTTAAGAGCGCCGCAATTCAAATAAAATTTCCCGAGAAAAAGCGGTCGTGAGATCAGGCTTGCTTTTATATGTATGCAATTTGTGTGATCTCATCGTACACGAGATCGAGAATGAATGCGTGAAATATTTCTGAAGTGTTAAATTAATGGGGACCAGGTATGCAAGCACGTGTCGAGTCGGAATGGCTACAAGAAGACCTGCCAGGATCGTGCAAATTTACTAACACTTTATAGTTATTTCATGCTTCATCCAATCTCGGGTTTAAAGCGGGGTTATATGAACCATATAACCATATGAACAACGATAATGTGACATGCATTTATCTATATATCTATCCATATCTATTTATATAATAATGTTAACTAGCTAAAGCAATTTCATTGGACGGGAGCCATAATCTATATTAGAGGACAAACGCACGAAAGACGTTACAGAAAATTTCTTGTTTTTTAATTACAACAAATGCCGGAATCATTTGAATATTTAGCAGATTTTATCTCTGAATGGGCAAATAAAGACCTTAAAGGACCTTGTCAATGCGGTTGACGTGTTTAAGCATGCAACAACAAAAGAATTTTAACGAATTTGATCAGCCATTGCTAGTCTATTCTGTCGGCCAATCACATATAGAACGTGACCTAAATTAGCTAATAGCATTTCTTCAATCTTATATATCGTGTATGCGTGATATTTACGAAATGATCACTTTTTTATTTTCCGAGCGTTGGGAAAACAAAAACAAACAGTTTGCCTGTTTAATTTGGGGACTTTTTTCATTTTAAAATAAACAAGATATAGATAAAATTTAACAATTGTATGTTCAGATACATAGATACACAGTTATGACGTCATTTGCGATAAGAACAAAATGTGACCACTCGGTCCAGCGGCTCGTGGCCACACGCCGTGCATGCATCCAATATCCATAACTGAACAAGCAAGACAACGGTTAAATGTTATCTATTTGTTAACTATATCTAACGTGCATGGCTTTGATAGCGGCAGGTACTCGCATTCAAATCCCACCAAATGGAACAAAGGTGCCCATGCAACTGATTATAAATACATTCAAAACCGTGTAAACAATAACAAGTGATAATATAAAACAAGAATATATTACTAATATCGTCGTCAGCAAATGTAGTCAAAGTCGAAAAAAGTTTAATAGGTAAATATCTGACTCCAAGACAGCAAAGGCTGGAGCAATTGAAAAGTTACTTAAATATATCGGATTCGAGGCAGTTGAGGCTGAAGCTATCAAAGACTTACTAACTCTACCAAAACCACATACGTCTTAAGTCGACAACAGAGATTCAGTCGCCGGACATGCGTGTGGAATATTGGCCTGCATTAAATCGGCTGGAAGTCGGTGATACCGAAGATTTTCAAAACGGACAACCTAATCAAATGAAGAACTAAACCGGCTTTCAAAAGGAAATCTAATCGTATCGTTAAACGGTTGTCATAATTAGTCATCGATGCTTGAACGCCTCAGGAAGCAATATGCATTGGAAATGTCTCATCGTTTTCAAAAACAATTGTCATTTTAAAGAAAGGACGCTGTGGTTGCTAGCTTTATCGCTGACCGCCGTCGTGTTTATCTGTACGTTGTGCATTTCTCTGTTCCTACCGGTATGTGTTTACGAAGCCGGGATGAAAGAGCATCGCTTAAACATTGACGTGCTCGAAAACTCCCTCGCTATCCCTCAAGATACTCGTCTTCGTGATTTCACGTTAGTAGAGCGATTACGGGAGAACAATAGCAAATTATCCACAGAACTACGTAAACAGCGAGAGACTGTGAATATTCACGAGAAATTGGCTAAAGTTATGCAGAAAGACTCGTCATTGGTTACATTGGGAAGCAAACGACATCAAAATATTCTGATTATATCGATCCCACATTCAGGAGAGTTGCTGTTGGGAGAGTTATTCAACCAGCATCGCGATGTTTTTTACTTATTTGAACCATTTCATTCTCTTAGTTATTTCAGGGACAACAGACCACCCGAAGTCTATACTTCTATGTTAAGCGGTTTTCTGCAAGGCATTTTCAGCTGCGATTTCGGAAACTTCAACTTTTTTAGCAAATTTTTATCGCTGCACTACGGAGCTTTGGTTCATCGGCTTGCAAGCCGCACGCTGTCTTCCCCACCGCTCTGTCCCGAGGTGATTTACGGCCGTCACTACAATATCCGACTTTGTAGCCACCTGCGACCGCCGACGCTTAAAGCGATTTGCGAATTGCACGACTTTACAGTGGTCAAAACTACGCAATTAGTAGATTTGGAAAGGCTGGCGCAACTCGATGAAGGTTGGGGCAACCCGTTTCGTGTCGTGGAATTGGTGCGTGATCCACGCGCGATACTATACACGGAGTTACGCGAACGCGACAATATCACTGAATCGTGGATAATCCACAAGGCGAGGAATATCTGCACGCAACAATTACAAAACAGACGCTACGTGAAACGTAACGAGTTTCCACCGACCGAGCACTATCTGATGATAAAGTACGAAGATCTTATTGGAAATCCCTTTGAAGAGTTTAAAAATCTTTGCAGCGTCGTAGGCTTGTCGAATAGCAGACATGCAACTTCGTGGTTGAAGGGCGTCCTGCGAGACGGTTTCGCGTGGCCGATGGTGGTCGCGGAAACGGGGAATAGCAGCAGAAGAAATATAAATTTGACTCGAAGTATCTCGGAATGGCAAACTGGGTTGAAACTATGGCAGATACGTTCGGTCGAACGGGAATGCCACGCGGCGATGAGATTACTCGGTTATGAAATATACCGCGATACAAACATAGATGTATTTTGAATGCTGATATTTGTATAGTCTATATGTCTTCGTATATTTCTGCGGCCTATTCATGCCAATTATGGGCCTACACGAAAACTGTCGGTTTTATAAAATTCAAACCACGTAAAATCGTTAGTAAATTACACGAGTGGGCAATCCAGTCAAGAAGGTTAAGAGTTGAATACATATTTTTATACAACCGTCCCTATACATAAAGGGGGTATTTGAAGTCGATTTGATGTGCCTAGCTGTTAGAAAAATCTCCAAGAAATAGAAATTTGCCTGCTTCATTACTATTCAAGTTACCAAAATCGATGACTGATTTAATAGTTTTAGTTTTCAATCTAACATTAATGGGTTTTTTATTACGTAAAAGTTAAATAACTTGCTAGAATATTTTAAAGGATTTGCTGTTTGTATACGCTAGTTATTTTTAAACCTGCATGGGGATGCATGGTATTTAGTTGCTGGAATATATTGTTTTATATCTTTATATTGCTCCTTCGACGTTTATATAATAATTTTCTCCAACTGAAAGAACTTAAATAGCAATAGGAATGAAAGTGGAGAAATCTTATAAACTTACACTTTCCATTTTTTCAATTGTGGTCGTAACAAGCCGTAGAATGTTCTCGCACATCGACTGGATGGACTTCAAAGAAGGGCTATCACCATCCGAAGACTTTTTGGGTTTCTAAGAAATTGTAGTTGAAATAAAGGTGGAATGAAAAATAAAGATTCGTGAATTGAGATGCTCCTAAAACAATAAGGCCTATAGGTCAAACCTAATGACCTAGACCTAAATGCGTGGGGGTCATCACGACGATGGCGATACATCATATTCAGGTAATCCTATTTTAAATCACTCGTTTTCTTACGTGTTAGACATGAAACTATCTAAAACATATTCTTTGGTTCTAACACAGCTACATATGGAAGTCACAATGCATTACACGCAATAACAAAAACAAGTAATGAACATATTATTCTAGTCATAAGTATTGAATATTGTAGAATATACGTGCATGCATACACTTACAAAAAAACTGAGAAGACTGTTATCTTTATTTGCACAATACCTCTTCATCAACATTAATAGCACATTGCTTAACAATGAACTCAACCAATCTCTGACCTCCCTCAAGATTTAGATAACCATGATGGGCCATAGCAGCGACCAGTTGAGCAAACATCTGTTTAACCTAAAGAAACCCCGATATTACATTATTCAATCACAATGGCTTCCTTATGCACTGCTATAGATGGATCACATAGTTCTTGTATAGCCTCGAATTTCCGTTTCACTTTTCACCTATTTCCTCCAAGTATTACAGAATAAACTTTTCTTTACATTAAAACTGAGCATTTATAAGTGGAATGAATGCTCTAAGATAATTGTTGTTGAAATAAAAAATGAACCTACTCCTCAAACCAGTTATGATTTTTGGCACTTCACTCAATGTAGGTCAATCCTAAAGGTTCAAAGGGTCTTAATTTCGAGTGGAATTATACACACTTAAAATTACCAGAAAAAGTTGATGAAAAAATGAGTCAACTATCGTTCCTCCGGCAGGAATCGAATCTACGCTTTTGCGATGCCGGTGCAATGCTCTTGCCACTGAGCTACAGAGGTCGCTGACAAGAGCAAGCGTACATTAACCACGCTGTCTGACCGTCCATGGCGTGAGGTCCAATGGCGGACGACTTTGATTTCACATTTTCACATCGTGGGTGTAAATATCCGAGCGGAATTAGTACCCTCGCACCGGGCTCGGGGATAATAATTTAATGATGTATTGCAAACCTTCGTGCTCGTATCTGCGATAGCAACCTGAACGCCAGTTACCAAAAGGGATTTCTTGTTCTCCAAATAGCTTTCTGTGAAAATTTAGGAAACCGGTTGAATAAAGTACATTCATTAAATAAAATAGAACCATTTCAAAAAATCACAGAATAAGAGGAATAAATTCGGAAAAAAATAATGTCGTGGTGAAATTCATGATAGGAATGCTGGAAACACGAACGTTCGAACCTTTGCCTAGCACTATAGAGGGGACGGTTATAACCGATTGAAACTAACTTTTTGACATTTCGAAGTCAACATAAGAATTCTTCCCAGTTTTCTTTTTCTATTTATTCAACAGCTTATATACATATATATATATATATATATATATATATATATATATATATATATATATATATATATATATATATATATATATATATATATATATATATATAGATTTGAATTCCGTTAATTTAATTTTAGGTTGCCCTTTTAAAACTGTAAATGGCTTCTATAGTCCAAAAAATAGTTTTTCTATTATGAGCCATCTCTTTCTTTCAGGTAGTCCATGGCAATGCCCAAAATACGGCAATCAATTACATTAATTCGTACCTGAAGAGTTAACGAGTTGCTTTAAAACAGAAAGACTCCCCAATCGTCCTTTTTCACCAGATTTCTCAAGTTTCAAAAGCAGGTAAGCTATAATCCGGTCAGAAAACACTTTACCTAAAATAAATACACATTGAAAAATAAACTAACAAAAAGGTTAAAAAACTTCTATACGTTTTGAGGGCTTTCACGTTATACGTGTAACTTTGAACTGCAACTATGCAGAACCTGAATCGAAAATACAAGCACAGCTTCACTTTCCTAAAGCGAGATTTCCACTTGCAGAGAAATAGTTCGCTAGCCAAACATCTGCATGTTTTCTATTGAATTGAGAACAGTCAAGTTGAACTAATTTATTTGTGCTGTTCAAATTCTAAAGAAAAAATGCAAATATTTCCCAGCAGAACTATGTCTCTGCAAGTGGAAATCCGCCCTTACAAAGTGTGTCGAAACATCTGAGAACTTCATTGCAATTCTTTACAGTTCCAGGGTTGCTAAAGTCGGGCATGACGCAGGCCTAAAATAAGAAAATAATCAATAGCATGAGGTTAAAAACCGCAGCAGCGCTGATGATATGCACTGCGCAGCGCCAAAGTACAGTGTTTACCATCCAGTTTCACCCCCTTCCAAACACCCCCCCCCCTCTCCCTCCCTAATTAACGGTCTGCCGTAGGACGGTCTTGATTTATAAAACCGACAAATATTTGCGCACCTTATCAAAAAGATCATTTAATAAATGATCAAGATGCAGAGTCAACATATCACCGCCATCCGAAACAGCAGACTCAAGAATGCGACATAAACTCTAGATGAAAGGAAACACAGTATGATTCTTCTTTAATATGATTCTTAAACTTTACCTGAACCGACATTACCAACATAAAAAGCCTCCGTAATGTTCTAGCGTTTACCTCCAGACATGCATGTTAATGAAGTATAGAACAAAACGAACTTATGTATAACACCATCTTTCAAACACAATATTTGAGCACAGAATAAAGGGTTTTAAAGTCATGTGAACAGTTACGTGGACACTGTGACAAGCAATTTACCTGAGTTATAGTGTAGATCTGAGCTGGTGGATGTTTCCTGTATAAGCTGTTGATACCGCTGAACATTCGAGGCAACTGTTCTTCCAATTTCTCTCGTGACAGCAGATTAGACATATAACCCACAGCCTCAATTATTGCAAGCCGTACCTATAGACAGAACATAGATCGCATCATTTAACCTACTGTATATCAATATAAGGAAATTTTGACAAATCGATCTTAAAAAGAAATCAAGCGAAAAGAGTTTCTTAGTTGAAGTAGAAACAGGCGTATATGGCCAGAACGTCTTTTGTTGCCAATAACTATTTGAAAACGAGGAAAATAAGTTGTAGAATCTCAAAGAGTTTAATTGTGCGAAGAATGTCAGTAGGGACATTTATACGAGGGACAACAAATCGCGACTTATATACATCAATTGAGGTTGCTTATGTAAGTCGCGATTTATTTCCCTCGTTTAAATGGCCCTATTGTTAACTGGTGACTTTTTTAATTCTAATGTCTATAAAACCCGATTTAATAACATGAAATTTCAGTAATTTTGAAGTTACATGGGGCACAGATCGATATCGACAACGGGATTACAGTACAGTGTACTGTACATCTCGAATTTGGAAAGTAAAAATTGTGTGCACGCTTAAACGCGTATGTAGTTAGCTATTAATGTTTAATATGCAATTAGAATTGTGGATATTAAGACAGCCTAACCGGTCTAAAAGGCCCGAAGTATTCGGAACAGTATTATCTTACCTTAGCTTCGTTGCTTTTTATCCAAACATTAAATAATATTTCATAGGCAGACAACATTTCTCCTTCAAATGTATTTTGTCTGATGTCGTTATGATTTGTACTCTCCACATTTGCCAAGTAATACGTGACGCTCTCTGAGAAGCGGGAAAAACCTATGCAATGTTAAAATGAAATAATTAGGGCAATGCATACTTATACAAGCCGTGGCTGAAGTTGAAAGCTGACCATAATTACGCCGCGGCCTTTTAAAAATTGTCTGAACTGTTTTTTATATACGTACTAGTCATTAAAAAACTATTTTAGCTGCGGATTATTTTTACTCAGGTAATTTCGGAAGGAGCATACTCAAATTAGTAAAATTGCAAAGTTTTGGCTGCAAAATGTTGTAAAGTACGAAAAATATAGCCATGGGAAGTTAGCAAATGTTGTATACTTTTGTATTAAGGCCAGAAGTGCATGTTTAGTTAATTCAGTTACAGATTCCCGCACGGAGTCAATACAAAAATATACGATCTTCCTAGCTGTGGTAATAGATTTCCTTTTTGCTGCCCAGATCCAAAATTAGTCTATAGCGCACAAGGTTGACACAAAAAAATCAAAGGAACAGCATTATGGAAAAAACTTACAGTCTGACTCCTCCGCAGTCCCTTAGCTGCACATTGGGTGGTGATATAGTGATATTTATAGATCAGTGACTAGAACTTACAGTAGCATCATAGGCAGCCCAATGGCGAATAGTTTTATTTGAAATAAAAGTGCACTAAAGCATTGAAATAATAGAACAAAGCTATCCGTATTTTGATTAAACTGAAACATGTATCATTTATTCATGCTAACTAAAATCCTGACATCCTGTATATTACACAACGGGCGACTCGCGTACCTGACAGTGTTCAGGCAATGTAGGCAATATATAGTATATATGTATCCTAAGGTATATATACTGTATGTGATTGAAGTTGCCTACCTTAGGATACATATATACTATATAATGCCTACATTGCCTGAACACTGTCAGGCACGCGAGTCGCCCGTTGCGTAATACACAGGATGTCAGGATTTTAGTTAGCATTATATATAGATTTTAGTTAGCTAAATGATATTACTACATGTTTCAGTTTAATCAAAATACGGATAGCTTTGTTCTAATTTTCAATGTTTTAGTGCACTTATATTTCAAATAAAACCATTCGCCATTGGGCTGCCTATGATTTAATCAGCTAGGAAACAATTAGGAAAAAATAAAAAACAATATTTTATATTTGTTAATTGTTACGTCATGCAATTCCGCGCTTCTTTAAAGTTTTGGTTTCTCTTAATTGTCTTGCTATTTTTGTCAACAAAGGCAAAGGTGAAAGGCTATAATATAGTGAGAAAAATCATAGGCAGTACATTATTACACCATGTTGACAAATTGCCGAAAAATTTCTCGCGTTCATATTTTCACAGATTAGCTATATAGCTTATCTGTGATATACTATCACGCATTTTTTGGCTGCCTATTAGTTTTCAATTTACTCAGTAATAGTGAATTAGTTAGTATAATAGTGAATACATTACTTACAATGAGCAAACACCCATTTCATGTTTTCTTGTTTAGTCAGGAGCAACATTGGTAGTATTCTGCCCAGTATATCCTTCAAAAAAGGCACCAAAGCAAATGCTAGATAAAAAAACATTCATACATATAAAAATTGTTATGTACAGAATGTATAGAGTAACAATTAATACATTATAAGACATCAGTTTAATCACATTTTGTGCATTAATATAAGCCAAATATTCATAGCCATAAGATATTGTGCGATGTTGCTCTTACCATCAGCTTGCGCAAAGTTAGCCAATGTTAATATGACAAAGTAGTGAGGCAGTGTTCCAGGAACTAGATTTTCTAATAGCTCACTCATTACTTCATGTTTGAATTTTTTGCCAACAGACACAATGAGATCTGATGCAGCAGTCTGCCATTTTGGATGAATATCCTGACAAATTATAAAAAATCAACATAATGTGTAAGTTTTCTTCCAAAGCAACGAAAGACAATTTCCTGGATATATGTAGTTCCATGCCAATCCCTTTTCAGATGGACAGAAAATACATGTAAAGGCCATAGGGTCCACACATCTTAGTGAAATATTTCATATATATTTCAGCATATAATGTAATGTAAACAGTAATCATTTACCCCTGAATATGTAAATTCTAACATGTTAAAATCAATTTACCACCTGTGTGAATAAGGCTTAGATATGTTTTGTTGTCATAAAAAACACACTAAATATATTATTTTAGTGCCTTCACTACAGCAGTAATTTATGTGTACCTTTGATTTAGTCATTTCCTGAAATGCTAATTTTAAAAGTTCTTTGGCAAGATCAGCTTGAATAACATCTCTCCTATCTGATAGAATTTTCTCCATGGATTCCAGCAAGACTACCCGGTGTTCTCTACTCAACTGCAAGCAATACAATAACATATTTGGTAGGTTATGTACATTATGCTATTGAAAAATTTCCCTTAGTTTTTCCGGAACTTCAACATTACTCATAGGTATTGTAACATGTACACTTAACAAAGTACAGGATAAGATTTGGATGTTGGATGTAAATCGATAAATATATAACCACTGGAAATTTAAAAAACATTAAAACATCAACCCTAGGATCAAAATGCTCAAAGTTAAGTCAGACCAGCAGCATCTTCTTTTATCAGATGATCAGGGGAATAAAAAAATCTAAATTCTGAATTCAGCTAGTATTCCAGATCAGTTAAGAGAGTCTATATTCAAACTTTCAGCATTGTATCTAATAAATTGCTAATAACAATGGATTATACTGCATGTGTACGGCACCTTTTGGTGTTTCAGTATGTAATCCTTGCAGAGAGTTAACACCAACTCGGCTTTTTCTAAGCCAATAGCATATAGGGATGACCTGACCATTTCAGTAACAGACTTGTCTCTGTCGTTTGCTGCATCAACCAGGGCAACCACCATATCTACAGCAAGTATAATCAAATTTAGGAAAACATAGTTGGTTGGCCAGGACTCTTATGTGTGACCATGTTTTGACAATTTGTGCAGCATACCATATTTGTTTCAAAATTAAAGTAAATGCAAACAGTTAACAAGTCAGTAAAAGTACTATGTCCTAATCAACATTGTCATAAACTTCTGGTGGAGGTGACATATTTCACTCCTTGCTAATGGCACTCAGCCTAAGCATTAGGCACAACTAATTAATTAAGACCATGCAGTCAAATTAATGGAGAGAGCAAATTAAACCACTTCATGGCACATCTGCTATAAACATCATTACTATCTGGTTGAAGAAAATTTATTTTGTCATTTTCGATACATAAATGGATTATATAAATATAATTATTTATATTAAACAAGTGATTGCCATTCTGCTTCCTGCCTATAATTTTATCATGGATCTCGTATGCATTTATACCTTTGTGACTCAAAATTCAAGAGTAAATTAACAAGATACGATTAGAACGATTTATTGTAATAAATTGCAAAGAACACAATGTCTTTACCTTCGACTTGTGCGCCAGTCTTCTTATGCTCCGTCATAATGACCGCTCTTTACAAATCTCCTCGATGCGTCTGCGATTTTGGAATAGCTAGAAGTTCTAATACGTATCCACTGCTGAAGCTATTTCTTTATAAAAACAGAGCGGTAATATCAAACAACGCTTATTTATAAAACATATTTGAATGCGAAAAATGTCACAAAATCATTAGAGTTCGAACTGCAAACTCCATTTCCAGGAGATGTGTCAGCCTCTGTCAGGTGATCTTTCAAAAAGTAATATCCCGCCTGAAACAATCTTAATCTTGTTTGATACCGGGGGGAATTTAATAGTTATAGCCAATGTCGCAATCGTGAATATTTACCACTGATATTTACCCATCAACCTGTGTGTTTCCACTTCGTTCACAATATCATTTCAATTGAAGGTGCACTTGGTATTGTTTTATTATAAATTTTGAGGTGTTTACAAATAAGAATCAACACAATTTCATAAAAAATTATAATTACCTTAAATTTCTTATTTGAGAAAAAGCATCAAAAAGCTATAGTCACTGACCAGTGACTACCACCTCAAAGACAGTGAATTTTGACCAATCAGAATGCGGGAAAATCAAATATATACTAAAATAACTAAATACACGAAATATATACTAAATGTGTCTAGTAATAAGAAAGTGTCAAAAAGCATTACTTATATTATGCTTGGCAATTTGGGTGTCGGCTCTATGTAGATATATTTAACAACCTCCGGGGTCTTTTCTCCGTGCTCAGACTGTCACCCAATGACAACTGCAAGCACGGAGAAAATTCCCGAAACTGATTTTTTTCGGATAGTCGTCAGATATAAATTAAAAGCGAACTGATTCGTCAGCTAAAAATAATTGATGCTGTTCAGTAGGTTTTCCAATTGCCTGTTCAGTAGGTTTCCAAAGTCTATACGTTTCTGACTTTCTGGGGCGAGTTGTATAAAAGGCTCGTTGACTTTTAACTGTAATTATTATACAAAAGCAATTTGATTGGCTAATAGTTGACAGATAAATCGCGCAATCACGCAGAATTCAATTATCTGCTAGCAGATAACTGAGTTATCTGCAAGTGAGCCTGCGGTGGTTAACAAGCGGTATTCATTTGAATGTATTTATGTATTAATAATTGATGTATTTTTGGATGTTGCTGTTAAATAAGATTGTTGTCCAATACTGTTGCAAGCATACGGGTCGTTCGTTTCGTAAAATTTTTTATACGGATGGTAAAGTCAGTTTAAGATTTCTATTCGTTAGAAGTAAGCAACCATTCGTACCATTGGTATCGAATAGACTCTTAGTTTACGATCCGTAAACAGACTATGTCGATTCGTAAACGCATTTTGTCGACTTGAACACGAGGCATGGAAACTAGCGTGTGTCTAAGGCGTAAGCAGCTGTATCCCCAAACAGACTGTGTCCGTTTGTAAATAAGGCAAGATGTGTCTATAGGATAAGGCGATGAAGAGATTGTCGATCTGTACCATTGGTATCGAATGGACTGTTCGTTTACAATCCGTAAACAGACTGTGTCGATTCGTAAATAGGGGAGATCTGTCTAGGATAGGCCTCTGAAAAGCGTGTCGATCCGTACCATGAGTATCGAATGGACTGTTCATTTACGATCCGTAAACAGATTTTGTCCATTGGTAAATAGCACAGGATGGGCCAAGCTACAGGCCGCTCTAAAGCTTGTCGATCCGTACCATTGGAATCAAATGGACTGTTCGTTTACGATCCGTAAACAAACTGTGTCGATTCGTAAATTGGGCCAGATGTGTCTAGGTTAGGCATCTGAAAAGGTTGTCGATCCGTACCATTGGTGTCGAACGGACTGTTCGTTTACGATCCGTAAACAAACTGTGTCGATTAGTAAATAGGGCATGATGTGTCTAGGATAGGGCTCTCAAAAGCTTGTCGATCCGTACCATTGGTATATCGAATGGACTGTTCGTTTACGATCCGTAAACAGATTTTGTCGGTGAAAAATGTCACGAAACGAAAATGTAGTTTACGAATGGTGAAAAAGGTTGTCGATCCGTATGCATGCGACAGTATTGCCTGTATTGGACATGTATGTTAAATAAGGTTTTTCATTATTCTTCAAATGTATAATAAAACAATTATTGAATTCGGTTTTTGTGATATTCAGAGTTATCAAGGTCTCGGTAAGCATTATAATTACGCTTACCTCGACCTTGATAACTCTGCATATCACAAAACCCTCATCCAATAATTATTGTTTATTAAAGGACAAAAATGGGCAAACAGAGTTGTGTAGTATTTCTGAGTTAACTAGGACTTAACTATGCAAAATGTAGTTAAAGAATTTTATACAACCGGTCTCTGCTTGTTTCTAGTGAAAGGAAATTTTCTCTGAAAAGGATTTCTCTGGTAATTTCATCATCAATACTGAAAATATTCTGTCGTATGGCTGTCATAAACTTTATCATGCATTGTTTAACGTACTAAAACTATTTGATGATCAACTGAATACTGAAATCGAGTGGATGTGTGAGGAAACGTATCAACGAATGGAACAACACGGAAAAGGTTCTCTCTGCAAAAGAATGCCCCTTCCGGGAACAGGACACTTTATTACGCCATGTTATCTTCCACCGTGTGCAAGACACTATTTGAAAAAGCGGGATGATACGTGGTTCTTAGGAGGTGAAAACAAGGCACAGTCAAAGGCACAAGAAGTCTACTGGAACGAAAGCCTAAAATTTCTAAAAGAAAACATAATTACGTAGCTAGCCAACGGCTTATAGAGAAGCGTTAATTTATGAGCTCAAGTCATTCAACTATAGGTTTAACATATTTCAGGTGGTTAGAGTAATGTATTTTACTGACGCGTATGGAACAAGGCAGGAATTTCACCATTCGACATATCTTTTTTACTTCTTTCAGGGAAAGACATTAATAAGAAAACCCAAATTTTTAATACTTCATGCAAAATGGAAAATCATGTACCTTTTCACCTAAAATATAGTTAAAATTTAGACAAAAATATTAATAAATACACTGTTAGGCTGCTTTTCAGTGTTCTAGGTTTCCAGTGTTTTATCCATGTTTTCTAGGCCGCGCCAAATTTGGCACCGCATTATATTCTGCGTGTGAGTTTGTTAGTTTGTTCGTATCAATACGTTTCCTTAATCGCCTGGTAAAAATTCCTTGCACATGCTAGGAAATTATTCATTTTTAATCTCTTGCGCGTTTTCAGAATTCCCTTTTCGAAGAATGTTTTCTTTTCAATTTTAATTTGGACTGTCACGATTGCGTCGTATCTCCAGTTTTATGTGCTTAAAGACAAAAATAGCACCATTCGATTCAGCGTTAGAAATTATACTAACAGGTGTCAAATGTATTACTAATATTGCTTTTGAAAGACAAGTGAAATTGTATTATTGACAAACTTCTCACTTCGATACATGCAGTTTTGAGTCGGACTTTCGGAAAGCGTAAAAAAAGCACAACATCCCGAGTGCATGGATGACGCTATCATACACGAAGAAACCATTTGGTAATTGCTTTATAAAATAACTACAGTGAATCCCGCGAGTGCATGCTTTTAAATTCCTCGTGCAGGATTGCCTGATCCTGCACAGCTGTTGACCAATCAAATTGCGTGTTTCACTGTAGTTATTATATAACGATACTACTACTTCTCATTTAGTGCAATACATTAAGGGGTATTTTTTTAACCTCAGAGTTATCAATCAGGGCTTGACTACAGTTGGGAATTATGCTAATTTTCCAAATTGCCTGTATTAAAAGGCTGGATTTCCATTTGCAGAAAAATGGTTTGCTCAGCGGCATGACTAAAACGATAATTAGGAGGAGGATGAATATTCATTATTCAGTTCTGCTATCCGATGAATTTCATTTGTATTTGCAATAGCTTACAATAAAAATCCGTCGAGCAGAACTGAATATTTCAATATTTACCCCCCCCCCATCACTGGCGAAATATTTCCCTATTTCCTGTTTCCCTATTTCCAAAACGAACTCTGAAAGTGGAAATACAGCCTAACTCTGATATTCAAATATTGACCTACCTGAGTCATACACACATCACTAATCTTACTGTTTCATTAATAACGGGATGAATAATTTTAAAGTGTCCATGATATTACGAGCGTAATATTTATATATTTATATAGCCCTCACTTCAATATCCCCTGAAGCGTAGCGACCCCTTCTATACTCAATTTTAATCTATTTAGATATGGCCTGGTCAGTATAAATAATTAGCTCCAGAGCCGTAATGATATATAAAGTGAAAGGAAATTTTCTCTGAAAAGGATTTCTCTGGTAATTTCATCATCAATACTGAAAATATTCTGTCGTATGGCTGTCATAAACCTTATTATGCCTTGTTTTAAGCATACTAAAACTGTTTTACTATAAATATTTAGATATGCGTCAGAAAAATGTTGCTATGTATCTTTAACATAATAACATAGTCCTCCTCTTTTAAACATTGGTTTCTATTGTTTTAAATATTACTTGTTTGTGATGTCGTAAAAAACTGGCATTGTGTGTCCATTAAAGCTAGATTTGGGTATATCATTAAGTAAACAGAATGTCAATCCTTAATCTCATAAGCGCAACAAATGTCTATGTTTTATGACGAAGTGATTATAAAAGCTAAGTTAATTAGATTTCAGGAGAAAAATGAAATACGAAATTGACGGAATTGTGTTTGTATTTTACCACTGTAGTTTATATTTTACCACCGCAGGCTCATAGGTATTAGAACAATTGACTACCGATACTTTTTCTTGTTATCGTTAGTATCAAACTTCTCAGTATCTGCGGTACCGAGAATACCTAGTCTATGACTGGAATTAAGGTTAGTAACTTCCTGGAATCGTCGAATCCAGAAATCAAACAATCCGTAAGAATTTTTAAAAATGCGCAAAAATTACTACCGTATTATAACATGTGCAGCATTCGAAACTCAACTAGTGCATAGCTGAAATCAAGGCGTTCAATACTGAGGCAGTTGGGCAGAGTTTTGGTACGTGTTGACGTCGACGTTTAGCTTTACATGATTGAGTATTGCATTTCTTCAATTAGTAATGGAGGCTATGCTAGTGCTACAGCGAGGTACAATGATAATGCCTGCGTGATTCCGACGATTATTCGCAAATTTTCATTGCATATTCAAGGATAGAAAAACTCGTATACCGGCACTCCTAACTCACCCTAATATACCCTAATACACCACGAATATTCTAATTATTAAAAAGCTTCAAACACGCCCCATTCGTATCGCCAATCGTATACGTGGAAATATCCTCATGT